GAGAGAGAGATCAACGTAGTTCGTTATCTGAGTTCACAAGTGATAAAAAGAATAGATGCCTTGACCGGAATGGCAAATACGATGGGTAGGAATGGTTCCCTCCCAATAACGGATGGCAAAAATGGGAGTTGGGGGAAGTTTCCGTATTGTTGAATTGCGAATCCCACAACGGGGGCAAGAAAGCTTTTTTGGTGTTCAGTTCCACCTGCCAGTCCTGGTGGGATTTTGGGGTTATTTCAAACCCATCAATTGGAAGACGGCCTTTTTTGCGGTTCCCTTAAATCCAAATTCTCGCTTCTACCTTAGCTGGTGGGGGCCTAATCCGGTAATATCAATCCTCTGTATCTACTATCGGCTTTTGCTGGATTGCTGTTAAGTGGAGTAACAGTACTTCAGTCAAAGTAACCTTTGCGCCTTGATTTTAGTGCACCTAACAAAGTCTCCAATTGCCTGTGGTTTTAGGTGGGTGGGTAAACATGTAACGGTTACATGATTTAATTCTCTTTGGGTGTGATGAAATTGTGGGGTGCTTCGGTTGTGAACTGATGTGGTCCTGCGAAGCCATTTTTAAGTACTGTATCTGCCAAGTGCCAGTTAAGAGTGTGTTCATGATGGTTGGGTTATGCAAACATAATCTCAATTCACATTTACCAATGTGATATAAAATGCGTTGGTGCAGGATGTAAAAGTTTCAGGTCTTTCGCTGCAATACAAATCCTTGCAAGTTGAAAAGGGGAACCTTCTGTTTTGAGGGAAAACGGCGTTGTTACATCATAGAAATTGAGTAAAAGGGCTGCTGAAGATTTTGAGTGTGGACCCCTGTTTAAAATGACAGGGCCTTTATAAACTAAAGCCCTAAGCACAACAGAGCCAATTAAGGCGTGGCTGCGAAGATAATAAACTCGAGATTTTCCAACTCATATTCCAAATGCAGTGGTGCCGGTGCCATGTACCAATATCATAAATACGTCACCATAAATAATACAGTTTATACAAAGAGAATGTTTCAGAAGTTTATAGTACTACAAAACAAATCACAAAAGATACACACAGAAACAAACGGATCGTGCTTCCATAGTCACTCGCTTTATTGTTTGTCAGGACACAATCAAAGTTTGTTCGGTCGGTTTTTTTTTTTGAAATTTTTCCTCTTCCATCCTTATGAAAGTGAGAGAGAGAGTTGTATGATTTAACTTTTTGTATATATACCTAAAGGGGAAGTATGAGGCTGTACGGCAAACAGTGTCTTCTCGATTATGTTCCGTTGGGCTCATTTTAGGAAAACTCGTGGCATGGTGCTCTCCGAAGTAGTGTGTTACAGAGGCAATTTGTGGTTTTGCAGATGTCGGGCAATTTGTTCTGCTTGGCTGTTGTCGCTTGCAGCGCTTTTCTTTAAGAGACCCTACATATTGTGTGCTGCACTCAGCTAGCGTTTGCCAGTTCC